CCCAATCACATTTATGACTCTTCTACATCAGTACACGTGGAATGTTGATATCTATCATCATGTATTTGTTTAATCAGGCTAATATTTCATCTGCCTCATTGGACTGATAATGTGATGAGAAAAACTCAAACTACTGAAACTGATCTATCCATTCACTTCTGTTCAAAGAGCTAGCCGAGGTCTTTTGGTCTTTTTTAAGTCACCCAGAGATTCATTCTCTTTTCTAAACATTAGATTTTGCAGAAAGAAATTAAAATCTCCTTTTTAGGCAAAACCATCTTTTGGCACCACAGAATTCACTTACAAGTTTGAACTTTCTGTACTTGAGGAAAACTGGTAAAATTGGCTACAGAAATCACTTTGCTTCCATGGGCTTTTTGCATCCTCTGCTTTCTTTGCCTTTCTAAGGACTCTGCATAGAAGATCTTGCTTTCTCCAAGTCAGACGATCCTCCCAAAGTCCTAAGGAAATGGACTTCCCTGGCTGTGCCTCAGTAAGGAGAGCGAATGGAACTGTGATCCACCTCAGGGAGAGAGAGTTCAACAGCTCCTCAAATTTGGATGACACAACTTTGCTACTTTTGCTGGAGGAATGGTCTCTCACCCCACCAGGCACACACACGAAGATGTTCTTAATCTCTCCAGTTGTCTGCCTCGTGGCAGGCATCCTCATCATCCCAACCATCTTATTTGTGATTTTCTCTCGGTTTAAAATCCGCCAGGAAACAAGGTACATGCTGCTGGGAAACGCTCCGCTTTCTGATCTGATCTACCTGCTGTTCTACACCGTGTCAGCTGCTCTCAATGCAGCACACCTACACCTCCCAAAGGAGGCTTGCGTCCTCCTCTTATTTTTGCTGGCAGTGGCTTACTGCGGGGGACTGTTCACAGCTGTTGCAATAGTCTTGGACACGTACATTGCTGTTTTGTTTCCTTTGCGCTATATTGCTATTTTGCCTCCCTCACGAACTAAAAAAATCCTTGCATTACTGTGGATGTGTTCCGGAGCTTTCCCTGGGATTTTCTTCTTGGTGCTATGGACTACCCACAGCTTTGTGCCCTGTGTCCTGGAAACGTGCTCAGTTCCAGTAATACTAATATTAACTCTGAACAGGACTGATGCTGTGAAACTCTGTTTCTGGCTTTCTACTACAGTTATCATTCTCTGTCTGTCTGTAATATTTTGTTGCTATGCTATTCTGTATGTTAAAACCAAACACTCGGGTATTTGGGAGAGCATCTGCTCCAGAGCCAGTGTAACATTTGTAATGCACAACACTGTGTTATTTTTTTACTTCTTTCCACTCTTGGCCCTTTTTGTAGAATCATTCTTGTGCGTTAATGTTTTTGTCAGACTGCAGACAGGAATCTTGGTCTCCCTGACAGTCTGCAATGTCCTCATGATTCTTCCTAAAGTTCTGTTCCCTTTTCTGTATGGGCTTCGATACAGAGAGATCTCAGCCTCTCTCAAATCCATTGTCAGGAGGAAGCAGCTTCGCCTGGTGTCACCTGCCCCACCACCATCCTGAGGCAGCACAGAGTACAGTCACAGCAGAGGAGCTGTCCTCACCTTGTTATCATGCGAGACTGATGGAAATCACCCAGCTTCTGAAGTGGAGAAGTGATCAATCCATGGTAAGAACACATGGGTTCATCACTGCCTCCTTTGTGCCAAAAGGCCACAGATCTTTCATCACGACACAGCTGAGAATATAGTGAATGCTACCCTGGATGAAGTTCCAAGCTTTGTTCTGACATGAAAGGCAGGACCTTCTGGAAGAGATATTGAATTAAGGTCATTTTCACCCACCTGTTGCAGATGCCTTTCTAGAGAAAAGAAAATTAAAAATAGATAATGCAAAGCAAAGGAGTAACCACAGGTCTCGTGACAGCATCACCTACAGCAGAGGATCCTTGAGCAAATGTGCTGTAAAAACAATAACCATTTCTTTCACAGAGTATATTCTTGCAAGCTAGGCATCCAAAGTCCTGTTCTTGAGAACATGCACTGAGAGGTGCCTCTGGAAACTGCTGCACTCGGTGGAACACCATTGCTCAGCTTGTGCAGTGTGCTGGTGTATTCACTGCCTTATGGATTCCATCTGACAGTCTGCAAAACACTGATGGTTTGATAAAATCTCCTCCTGATGGGAAGCCACCTTAGATGTGTCTGCTGGGCAGCACAGAGGTGGACAGGGAGGACAGGGGGCAGCGGGTGGCATTCCCTCCCTGCCGGGTGCAGAACTGCTGTGCCTGCGGAGCCCAGCGTGTGCTGCGGGAGCCTGGGGCAGCCCAGACCCCGAGTCCCTGCTGGGGCTGTGCTGAAGTTGAGCCCAGCAGCTGGAGCAGCAGGGCAGGAGCAGAGAGGTGCCAGGCTGGAGCACCCACACCATGGCTCAGACAGGACCCGGGTGAGGGACTAAGCATGAACATCCCTTCTGAATCTCTGCCGAGGCAGCTCTCAGTTCTGCCTCACAAAAATCTCCTCCAGCAGCCTGATCTCAGCTTACAGCTACACCATGTCAGAGCTGCTGCTGGGTACCTGCCACCAAAGCCTTGGGAAGGTTAGGAAGAGAGGCTGCAGAGCTCGTTGGTGCATTGGGGCAAGAAAAATGAGATCCTGTAAGAGCATTTTACATTTTCCAGATCAGCCGCCTACCTATAGAAGACAAGTGAAACATATATCTGACCTTTGAAGAAACCAAAATATCATTAGATATAAACATCAGTGTGGGAAATTTAAATTGCTGATCTGTCCCTTGGACTTGAGAAACGAGTTCTGTATTTCTAAAGATAATATTTTTATAATTTGTTATGTTTTATGCATAAATACATTGGACTTTTAAAAAGGTCCTTGATTTCACTCTGTGCAGTATTTTCCTTGTGCAGACTCTCTCCACCTTCTGTTTGCTTAAAGCGATACACAGAAAGTGCTGAATGTGGCTTTTGGCTATTTCACACTCATCCAAAGAATTCCACTACGTGTGAGCCAGGAAGAGATCGGTGTCTGGTTGCATGAAATGTTTTTGGCAGCAGAGTGAGTTCGAGCAGTTCCTGCAGATATTCTCTCCCCATTCCCAAACTGCTTGTTACTCTCCTCACATTGCAGTGTCCACTCTCTCCTGTTTGCTGATGCAACTGCTTCTGGGATTGCAGGTTAAAAATATCCCTTCAAAGAGAAGTGGTGTTTTCATTGTAACTGAGATTATCCCAGCGATCTGTTTTATAGGAGGTTCTGAAAACAGCTGCTGCATCAGCACAACAGAGGGTGTAACAAATTCCGGTTCAGAGATGGGGGGAATGAGCAGGGACATCTTAGAGACTTTGCTCCTAAGGGACACTTCTTGCGTGAGAAGTATCTCTAAGGTAAAATTGTGGCAAGTCAATGAAATGTAATATTGCATATTTGCTTTAACCATGGTTCTGTGCTTCTCATTCCTCTTCAATAAAAGGATCTAGAATTTGCATTTTACTGGCTGCTTTTATTTTTCTCCAAGATGAATGTACCATGGATATCTGAAACTAGGTGTTCTTTATATTCAACCTCTAACAGGGGTCTTCCATAACACATAGGAATGATGGGGAAAATGTCTGCATACTGGACCAGGTTCTTTCTGCTGAACCCCTTTGGCATATGGTAAGATCAAGAATGGAAGAGGTATTTGTGAATCCCCAGGCTTTCATATCCTGGGCCAAATTTTTATGCCAGTGCCCAATGACAAGGACACTGATAACTCGCAGGTTGTTTTGTCCATGCAAGGTCCATTCATGTTTACCTCTATTGGAAATTTTCATGATAAGAAGTAGAGATAACTGTGTAAATAGCATAAAGTAAGGTAATTCTATATGGAGCCATAGGTGACTTTGTGTAACAGCCAGTTAACATACTTGGTCTTCCTGCTGACCTCTGACAATTATGAAGGTATAAGCTGGACAGGATTCTGTTGCCAATTCTGTAACTCTTACAGACACATGTCCTGGATACAACAAGAATTTTGGTAACATAAAGAAGGATGCTGAAAGACAGAGCACGCGAATCAGTGATTGTGGGAAGTTTATGTATGTACAAAGCCTGCCCACAGTGACATCACAAGGACCAGGCAAACAAAACATTGCTCTGTGGAGATGGTCTTCTAAGAAAGACCATTTCAAGCTCATATTAATTCTCTTTAAAGTGGTTTAACATTTTAAACCACATTTTAAAGTGGTTTTTCTTAAGTGACTGCTTGTAAACAACTTATTCCCATGGAATATTAGTGTGCTGTTTGGTACAAAAGCAGCAGGTTATAGCGTGCATACAAGAAACACACCATGTGCCTGAACCATTTGCCTTTGGGATTTCCCCATTCTATGTGAATAGGATCAAAGGGCTCACCAGGGCAACGTCACAAGCACTAGGTTCCTATAATACTTTTCATAAATATCGTGAGTTTTGTCTCAAAGAATGTTAGGCTTCTGCATTTTTCAGAACCTCATGAGTGTAGTGATCACCAGCCTTGTAAGGATGTCTCCACATAAGCTCTGGAAATTCAAACTGAGACTGTTTACCAGACCCAGTAATCGACCTCTCCCAGGTCACATAAGTGAACTTCTCAGACGTCAAGAAGTTTGGCTGCCCTGCATTTTAATTTGAAGTGAAATGGAGAGCAGTTGGCTTTAACATGTGATTTGGCAGCTGGGGACAGTAATCCTTTAATGAATTGCAACAGCATGAATCACTAAAGGTATTCCAATTTATAGCCTAAATATATTCCTGGTCAGTTTTTCCCTCTTTTCTTGTGCCAGTACTGTCACAACATTTACCTCTGCTCTCTTCCCTCACCCAGCTGGACTTAAAGTGCAGTTTGCTGTCTGTAACCTGCAGACTGAAGGGAGTCAGACCTGCATTCCAGGGGCTGGGGCTGTGCCGTACATCACTGCAGACGTAATTACATCAGAGATAGGTCTGTGCCTCAAATGAGATCAGTTTCACTGTCAGGAGATACAGAGGATCTCCTTGCAGGTAAACAAGCGCACAGCTTTGGATCTGAGGTACTGTTCATTGCAAGCATTTGAGTAATTATTCAGTGAAACTAATTAACCTCCTGCAGTTTTAGTAATTACTATTGGAGTGTCTACTTCTGCTCCATCAATTGGCTGTGTCATTTTCTGCTGGAACTGTAATGTAGGAAGACGGCAGAAGGAAAGTGCCATTGCCTGGCTGCACTGGGGGCAGCCCCAGAACCCTGGGGCTGTGTCTGTGCTGGGGAACAGCACCAGCTGCCCCGAGGCAGCTCAGGCAGCTCCTGCAGGGACAGCCGGCTCTGTGCTTCCCTGGGCAATGTTTGGTACATCTGATACTCTGTGTTCCTTGGGCAGAAACCGTGCTTGTGGTCATTCCCTGCCAGAGGGGGGGACGCAGGGCAGATGAGAAAGAGCCTGTGATAGGAAAAGGAAATTGCAAGGTTTTGAAATTTGATTTCTGTTGTCTCCTGTCTCCACCCCCACCTCGCTGCTGGCAAATGAGTGGCCAGCACTGCTGGTTCTTGCCATTATTTTCACAACCCTTGTGATTTTTGGTGTCTGCATAAAACTACTGATTTGAATGTTTTTGTTTTTTAATATACTTCAAGTCCTTCGGATTGCAACACGAATACAGAAGGTACAAAGAGCAGAGAGGCAAATAACCACAACTCTTCACTCACTGCTATTAAAACATCGGAATTTGTGAGCGATTCATGAGTTAGGAGCGGGAAAAGGAGCCAAGCTGTGGTTGTGCTGTCTTGTGTTTGTCAGTGAAGGCTGTTTTGGCTTATGATTGCCCAAGGTTTGCACATGTGACTAGGAAAGCACCTTAGGACAGACAAGAGACTGTTTCCTGCCTTTGAGATGTGGAGTTAAGAATTTGTATTAGGAAGTTCATTTGGACAACTTTTTTCTAATTCGGTGATTTATCTTTCTCAAGAAAAAAAAATACAAGTTTTTGCTACAAACATTACAGGGAGAAAATCAGCAACCAGCTCCTGAGGGCTGCTAGTTTTTAGGATGATTCTCAGTAGGAAGAACTAGTCAGACTCAACAGCTGCTATAATAAGTTTTTCCAACAGGTAAAGATACAAAATGCAGCTCCTCAAGAGGAAAGGGAGAACCCTCCCATTCATCCACCTTCTCTGTCCCTCTAGACCAGCCAGTGCTACCAACCAAGGCAAAGGTGGTAACTGTTCTTCACAAAAACCTTTTGAAATAAAATATTCTGTCTGGAGGATACTTCTTCATGCCCTCTGAAAAGCAGAGTGGGATGAGAGGGAGGGGGCCAGCATGGAAGTGTGAGAAGTGCTGACCCTGCAGAATGAGAGGAATGTAAAGAAGGAAGGGAAGCAATTAAAAAGTAGTTGAAAATGGAAGGCCTGTGGGAAAATTAGAGTGAGACATTGTGGGGATTGGTTGAAATTACAGAGATGAATTCAAGGCATGGGGCAAATTGCAGAAGAAACAGGATTTCTTGCAGTCTTTCTGAGGGAAGGACACAGTGGAGACCTGTTGGAGTGCTACACCCACGCCACGGGCTGTGCTGCCGTGCTCAGCCTGCACCAGGACTGTCTGCAGGTCCTGCCACACCACTGAGCACTCAGTGTGCTGCAATTCAGGAACCCGTGGTTTTTCCCCAGCCTAGCATGACAGAAATATTATTTTTAATACTGTATAAGGCAAAAGGAGACATTACGGAGTGGGAGGGAAGGCTGGAAGGAGTCACTGCTCTCCGCTTGGAGAGATTTGTTTTGCACTGTCTTTTCTGTCTTGATTTAATAGCGAGTTGGCTCTTTCCAGCAACTAGGCAGGGGAGGAGGGACGGGAATATGTTCCCAGTCTTTGGCCAAGAGTGTCCCAGGGCGTCCCGGGCGTGACCTCTTCAATGTTTGTTTTTCTTTCCCTACAACTGACCCAGATGCTGGGATTTGAGACTTGGGCCCTCCTGGCCTGTTGAACATTTGCCCCCTCTGGTACAGCATGTGACAGTCTCATGAACCAGGCTGGGAACAGTACCTGGAACTGTTTTTCTCTCCAGCAGACTGTTTTGTCCGGTTGCGTTCCAGGAACCCAAACCCGTGCGGAAAATGCCGGGAGCGCAGTGCCACCCAGTGGGGATGGAGGCACGGACGGAGCCCGGCCAGGAAAAGGCCTTCCAGGCACAACAGTCACCCGACACGCAACAAAGGAAAGGGAAACTACGGTTTGGCCTGTTTTATTTAGAAAACAGCCGCAGTGAATGTTCCGTGGAAACAATTTAGCGTTCATTTACATTTGCAGCTTGTGCAGTCTTTCTTGGGAATGACAGCAAGGTTTGCAAACTGAGATGGATTTGTTTTGGTCATGCAGAACTCAAAAACCAACAAAGTATCTTCAAACAAACAAACAAACAAACTGGTTCAAACTTAATCTAATGTGCCAAACACTGGGAGAAAAAAGCACAGCTTTGGAACAAGACATTATGTCATACCAAAGTACAAATATTTAATTCCTAAAACAATTTCTCTTTTTTCACTAGTAGTTATTGCAAATCCAGCTTAACACAATAAATAGTTGACCAAACTCTGGGACCAGACTGAGCCAGTTCAAGCACATTCCAGGGTAGATATAGCTGGGAAGTAAATTTCCCACCTACATTTCTTTGCCTGATTCGAGGTCTTGTGTTGGCAGGAGTAAACTACAGCTGGTCCCTTTGTTTTTCTGTGGAGGGAAGGAATTAAGATAATTTAAGGATATAATGTACAGAGGAAACACAAGGACTGAGCATATATACAGATACGCCCCAGAGGAGCTGTGGTGGTGTTCCCATCCATTGCTCACGAAGCCCAAAGCCATCCTCACTGCAGTCTGTGCCAGGAGGCACCGGGGTCAGACAGAAACTGCCCCGGGCACGATCTTACGGATGGGCGTGTAAGACTTCCTGAGGGTAACACTGCCGTGGTGAGACACCCCCCGAGGCAGGACACACTCTTCTGTCAGCTTCTGAGTTTCAGGGTCCCAGCAGAGCACTGTTGCAATGACTTCGTTCTTTTCATCTCGGCCGCCGGTGATGAACAGCTTGTTGTTGCAAGGAGAAATGCCACAGCTGGCTCTCTCGTGGGTGAACTGAGTCACCAGGCACCATGTGTCCTCCTGGGGGCTGTAGGAGTACAGAGCTTTCATTGCCCCACCTGGGAAGGAAATGGATATTGGTTTGCACTGGCCGTTCCTGTAAGGGATTTTAATTCAACCATCCACTTCAACAAGACTCTGTTCCTGACATTTGTAAGAACGGTTTATGCCCCAAAGCCAAGAAAAAACAAGGTCACAGGATACTTTATTGTTTTGAAAGCCTGATCTGCAGAAGGCCACTTATTGTTCATAAGGCTGTGGAATTTAGGGCCAGAACAACCTGCTGTGATCCTTCAGTGTGACTGCCGTGCACCTAGCAACAGATCTTTCTGATACCTGCTGCTCCAGCTAAGGACACAGCTTCAGAAAAATGCTATTTTGTTTAAAAGTGCTTAGATCATGGAGGACCAGCTGTAGTAAACCATCACTGTTAGAAATGGAAACAGGATTTTTCCACTCATTCCTCTGTCCATCAATCCTCCTTCTTCCTGGAAATGCCTGCTTTCAAAAAACCTTCCTTGTTTAGAGTTTGTCAGACTGAATCAATAACCTCTCTATGGGTTTGTTAAACAGAGAGTGACCTTCAGTTTCTCTGTGTTTCCCAAAACTGAAGTTATTAATGATTTTTAGTAAAGGTTCTTAGTGCACCTTTTCAATCTTGCAGTGTCCTTTTCTCTTGAAAAAATGGTCAATATCTCAATTCTCATGAAAGGCTATGAAAATATATTTCCTCCTGAGATTACCAGCAGCTAAATGGTTCTTATTCTGAAATTTACAGGCACTGAATGTGTCTTCTGTATTTGCTGCACAGAATCACAGAATTGTTAGGGTTGGAAGAGACCTCTGGAGATTATCCAGTCCAACCCCTCTGCTAAGGCAGGGTCACCTGGAGCAGGTTACACTGGAATGCATCCAGGTGGGTTTGGAATGCCTCCAAAGAGGGAAACTCCACAGCCTCACTGGGCAGCTGTTCCAGTGCTCTGCAACCCTCAACACAAAGAAGTCCTTCCTCAGGCTGAGGTGGAACTTCATATATTGTAGTTATGGTCATTGTTCCTTGTCCTGTCCCTGGCCACCTCTGAAAAGAGTCTGGCACTGTCCTTCTGGATAGGAACCTTGAAGCCATGGTCTTATTGATGAGGTACAACAATGCCTGGCATGCTCCCTGCTAGCAAAGTGAGTATTTATCTGTGGTACTTATAATAGATGCTGAGTTTGACAATACTAGTGCAGCACCTGAGGGGTGATCAAGTCATTCAGAGGTGACTTAACTGAAACAGACTGAAAGTTAGTCATTAGTTGTAGTGATTGTTAGTTGTAGTGATTGTTATTTGTAGTGATTGTTAGTTGTAGTGATTCACCTGGCAGTTGGTAATTCATCAGTCTGGGTAATTTGATTGCTTTGGATGCAGTAACCAAATGCCCTTTTATCTTTTAAACTTCAGAAGGGGCTGATTTCTATCCAGTTGGAATAGACTTATTTCTCAGGTAGATAAGCAAGAGATTTACTAGTGGATGTTGCTGGCTAAAAGATGCTGAATGAATGTGACTGGAGTATCATGTCCATTTTATCAGGAGTTACATCAGCTAGCCCATAAGTCATGTGCCTTCTCTCTCTGTCATCCTGTGCAAACAGGGTGAGGTCAGCTCCAGTGCTGAGGACAAGCATGAGGTGTTTTTGTACACAAAAGGGGTGTGTGTATGTATATATGTGCACACACATGCAGATTATAAATCTCCCTCCAGAGCACCATTAATTATTTGGTGAATACTCCAGCTCTATGCCAGCTCTCAGCACCATATTAATTACATTGAAATTCCCTGCACCAAGGATGAGAGAGCAAGAGCTCCTGTTTCGGAAACAAATGTTCTTCTTTTCTTTTGGTTTTCTTGGTGCCATCTGGAGATGTGTGCATGCTCCCTCCTCCCCCCATAGTTCAGCTCAAAATCTTGTTTTTTCCATTTTTCCTTCCAGTTCTGGTGACTGACTGAATTAACCCCAAGTGCAATCTAGTGAAGATCTCTGGATCTTTGGGTCTCAGTGGCTCTGCTCCTCTGACCTCCTCCTAGTACTCTTATCCCTGCATAAATCCTGTATGCAGTGGGTTGTGTAACACCCTGGAGAGGAGAGGGGACATGATGTAGCCATGAGATCATGCCCTTGCCACTATGAACACATCTTTGGATGGCTTTAAGCTGTCTCTGGGCTACCTCCAGCTTTCCAAGATAGCTGCCATGCTAACAGGGATTTTGACTTGGTGACCTTTCCCTACTCTTTGTGAACATCCTGGATTCCCACCCCTCGCTAAGCTCACCGGGAAGAGCCATCTGACCGTCTGATTACACTCTGTGGGGGTGAAACTATCACAGAAGCACAGGAGCAAGCCCTGCTGGGCGCAGACAAGGAGAGCCACGGGTGCTGCACTCACCCACCACATAGATGTGGTCCCTGAAGCTGGCAGCGTTGATGCACTTGGCCTCCACGGGCATGGCAGCCCTGAGGCTCCAGGCGTTGGTGGCCGGGTCGTAGCACTGCGTCTTGTCCGTGGCCAGCTTCCCGTTGGGGCCCCCCCCAATCACGTACAGCTTCTTCTTGTAGCTGGCTGCTGCAAAGGAGCTCACGTTGACCATCAGGGGAGCAGCCTGGGGACCAAAAGGAATCACTAGTAACCATGTGAAGCAGTCAGACTGATGCCTGTGGGGAGGGAGCCTGTGGAATTTTAAGTCAGGCATCCCTTTTTAAGCGGGGTTCAGAAGATGATGTTTCTAAGGATAAGGGAAAAGTATGTTTCAGCTTTTTCTTAAGACTGCAAAAACCCTTAATGAAAATATGCTCTGTTCAAATGCTGAAATTAAAATTACTTATCAATAATTCAAAAGCTAGGAAATATCAGAAATGCCAAAAATCTCCTTTACATGCTTCCATACCTTGCAGAAAAGCACAAGAAATTTGTTTGTACTGATCTTGCTACTTGCAGCTGTGATTGTTAGAGTCATCCACATTGCTTTTTATAATCTAGTGACAATGGGTTGTGTCTGCTGTTATGATGCCTAATCTCATTACTGTTATGGATTAATTGGTTGCCTAATTCTCTCCTCTCATTGCTTGAAGTACAGTGAGTAGAACTGGGGCGAGTGGGTTTAATCCTGTTTACCTTCAGACTTGTATTTTCATGTATAACCCATACCATATACAAGGCACAGCGTGGTAGACACAGTTTATATACATACAAAATGTGTCAGAGCAGTAGTTTTCAGCCTGTGCTCTGGCTCATGTATACTATATTCTTTCTCCTTGATTTATGGGCTACTAGCTTCAAAAGCCAACTAAAAAAGGGAAAGTTAGGCATTAGATGTCTCATAGAAAATGCTGGCTGACAATCTGGGGATATTTTTACCTTCTAAAGGATATGCATTTCTATAGAAAAAAAGAAATATTTACGATTTTTAAAGACCAGAAATGCTTAAAAGAATTATACAAGATCATTTTGATGAATCCAAGACCTAAGATTTTCTAAATAAAATATTCCAAATAATTAAAATGTTACATGATGCAGCCTCTTACCTCTGACCAGCAGTTATGAAAGGGATCATATGCTTCCATGCTGTTGATTCTCTGCATGCCATCAAAGCCCCCAATGACATACACTTTGCCACCCAACACTGCCATTTTATGTCTCCAGCGCCCAATGTTGAGATACTCAATTTGTATCCATTTGTTGATGGAGGCGTTGTATTTCCAGACATCGTGCTTTGTTTCTTTGCCACCTGCAGTGTACATGACATGTAAATATGATAGCACGGCTTGTATTTACTTAAAAACCAATATACCTAAATTTAAGTGTGTTCTCTCACAATGGAAAGTAAATCATTGTTACTGATTGTTAACTGGTCCTGTTACAATAGAAGAAAATTTCTGCATTTAGTTTACTTAGTAGTGAAGGACACTGAACAATTTCTACAGCCAAATATTCAGTGAAGATAAATCACCATTCCTCACTTTAACCAGACCACAACCACTTTCATTTCAATACTGAGTGCACGACCAACCACATAGCAGGGTGACATGCAGGAGATTTCTGTGCAACACCAGGGATTTGCAGAACTGCTGCAAAGGGACAAACAAACAAATGTGATTTAAGTGAGATAGTGGAGGATGCTGCAGCTGGTAGTTCCAAATCCCTTGAAGACAGGCCTGCACTGGAAAACTGCCAGGTTGTGCAGGGCAGATCCAGCCAGCCCTGTGGTTTGCATCATAAAGCAAAAGACCTGACTGTGCTCCTCCCAACAATACTCCTGCAGGACCTGGAAGTTTTACCATTCAACCCTGGGACCATATGGCTGGGATCTCGTTTTCTCTCCTTCTGGACTTTCTCTACACACTTGGGTAAGCTTCATATTTACAGCTTGAAGAACAAAACTGGACCCTGCAAACTCATTCTAGAGCTGACCTGCAAGAGGGTCTTTGCTTGTGCTAAAGCAGAGAGCAGTGTTTTAAACAAGAGCTGTTGTTTGCCTACAGTTTCTGGTGTAACTGTAATACAAACAGATCTAGTTAAGCCTGAAACCACATTTACAGACTGAGTAGCTTATTCCATCATCTGCAACCTGATTAAACATTTGCTTCACTGGTGAATATACTGAAAAGAGAATTCATATTCCATTGAGAAAATGTCTGTCTTCATTGGTATTCTGTACTGCAGACAGATCACTGCAAACTGATGGAGCCTATCTCTGGGCCAAATAGCAGATTGAATAGGAGATAATTAGCATGCTAGAAAGAGTCGTTTGTAATGCTTTTGTCCTAGTATTTTTCACATGTATGTCGTTAATTTTATTTGCACTCAAATAGCTGAAGTGGCCAAAGGGCCTGAATGCAGCATTCATAGCTACAAAGGGGCTGAGAGACTGCAGGTGTTCCCTTTACTCTCCTTGAAATTTCCCTTTGACATGAGCTTGTGCTTTCCTCCACAGGCTGAAACTCATGTAGTAGCTTGAGCTGGACCAGTGGGTGAATTTGCTGCACATCAGGGAGAGATTTTTGAGAGGACTAGAAGTTAATTTTGTTTCTGTTTTTCCTCTGGACAACAATTCTTTCTAATCTGAAGAGAAATTGTGCCTAAATTAGTAAAAGTATCAGAATGGTGAATGATAATTCATGTAATTTTTAGTTATGCTGCAAATGTAGTGTTTCAGGCTATCCAGTCAAAGCATTGAAACTGTTTTGGGGAAAGCATGATCTAACAGTAGTCATAATCTTGTGCAAAGGACTTTCCTATTTTTGAGATGCTAAAGGAGCAGGGAAGACTCCAGACTGTACCAAGATACAGAAGGAAATAAGCACATGGAATCATGTTAGGATCAAGTTAGGAAAAATGAAAGTCAAGTTAGAGTAGAATAAAATTAGAGGAGCTAAAGAAAGAAAACAAAAGTAGAAGGACATACAGGAGGAAGCAGCTATTTAATCAGGATTGAGACACTAATAATTGGTTTCGCTGAGAAAAACATGCTAATGGCTTTGGTCCACTTAGCCTTTTATTTGTGTGCAAAGGGCAAAAAGGTGAAAGGCAATGAGGGAATGGAGAGAGGAACTCAGAGACATGAAAGTAAGTAAAGATGGAAGAAAAAGAAGCTGTGAGAATGGAAGCAAAGGGAAAGCCAGCTGAGACTCACCACAGCAGGGAATGTGTTAGCCTGGCCTGGAGGTAGCCTGGATAGAGCATAAAATAAAAGTGGAGAAGAGACATTGGAAAAGATGTCAGGAATAATAGAATGCAAGAAGCCTTGAAAAAGAGAGAAGGGTAACAAATTGAAGGCAAATGGAAAAAAGACCTCTCAACTCAAGGGTGTGAAGGTGAGGGGAATATTCCCTAGTTGGAATGTTTGACTTAGGTTTCTCTCTACAGCTACCTTCTAATAGAGGGGCTAATGCCAGAAAGTCTCTATGGTGGACTGAAAGGAATAACTTTCTTTACTTGTAGTTATGGGAACAGTAATCTATTTCTTATCCCAGGATAAAACTTTAATGAATGTTAAATTGGAATGAAGTATCAAAAATATGTGAATTCCCAAAAGAAAGAATACAATGGAAGATATTTGAATAAAGGCAGTGGACCACTATTCACACTTTAGGATTCACACTTTGGTCTACTCTCCTCCTTTCTACTCTTCTGTTTTGATGGAGTATAGAATTTGGTGGCCAGTTTTGCAGAAAGGAAGTATTCTACCTATAAAAGCCCTGTTCTGTATCATGGTCTGTAAAGCCACAGTAATGAAAAGCTTGCTGTCACTTTTCCTCTGGAAGCACAACAAGATCATCCAACTTGTTTTTTGACAGGCCATCAAAAGCAGCTGTCAAACTGGCCAACAAGCTTGATTTTAACATTTTGATTGTCACAGTAAAATCTCTGTAGCTCTGGGATCAAACCCTGTGTGGAGCTCAACTGTATTTGTGTGGGAAGTTAAATACATCTCCTGAAGCTCTTGGGATGATGATCAGCACATGAGTTGTTCAGACCCACACTGGGTGTCTGGAACATGGAATTTCATCTGGCTTTGACAGTTTATACTGCCAAGTTAATGACTGTGGGTGGGCAGGTCTAGAGTCCTCTGTGATGGCAGCTTTCAGGGGGCAGCCAAACATCAGTGACAGTTCCCTTCAGATTCTTGACTGACTTTTGCAAAATGACTCAGGCTCTGGCACGATTTTGCTAATGCATGTGGAGCTTCAAATGAACTTGTCACAAGAAGATGCTGAAGCAATTTGTCATTTTATGTTTGGTGAACTGTTCCCAAGAACCCTTCTGTGACCTCAGCTGCTGTTTAGGGTGCTGCACAAAAGTACCCATGCACATAGATCAATGTAGTTTGAAAAGGAATCATGTGCTCAGGTCAGAGCTAGGCAGTGTCCTTACACTTACAGTGCTCTCTGGAGCATGTCCAAAGTCAAAACATTAAAATACCTGCAGTGCTTAATTTTTCTAAAGCTGCCTCAAGCACGGTCTTGATAAAAGCTGGAAATAATCGTGAGAATGCTTTGCTCCCCCTCCTGCACTCCCAGTCAATGTCTTGTTCCTTACCTGATATGTAGACTTCATTTTTTAGAGTAATGCATGCAAACTCCACCCATTTTTTATTCTCATTCTCTGGCTCCTGCTCTGTGATTGGTAATTTTGCTACTTCCAGACGGCTTCGCCTCAAAGGATCCAGGCAAGTCACTTCTGCTACAAACTTCTCATCTTTTGTACAGCCCCCTATGATCATAAACACCTCAGACTGGAACTCGTGCATCCTGGGCTTGGTTCTTTCTGTGATAATCTAAATTCAAGTGAGACAGAGTGAGTACACAGGGCATTTACACCTACAATTACAGAAAGGCCAGGTGACCTTTTCTTTGATTACCTGTTCTTCAAATCACAACAGGCTTACATCAACTGAACCAATTAGCCAAGGCTTTCTAAGTTAAAAGCCTGAAAAGCATCCTAGAAGCATTCAGTAGAGGTTGCTGTATCCTTCTTTCAGCAGGATTTTTCCAACTCTGAACTGTTGCTTTTGCCTACCTTCTAGGATCCTTTCTGATCCTTTTAGAAACTTCCAGGATGGCACCACGAGCTATGCAGGTGAGCAGTAATGACAAGGCTGGGTGCACACCAGGTAGCTGAAAAGGACAGGTTTTATTTGGGTTGACAGAGTGAGGGCAGGGTCGGGGACCCCAAGGTTTGTGTATGCCTTGGGGACCTCAGAAAGAGCAAGACTGCAGTTAGTGCTAGCAGAAAATAAGTGCTCTCATTATTTGTCCTGAAGAGATATGCTAGTGTCAGAACAATAACAATTCTCAACTGTGGAGGGGTTATTTTATTTGTTTCTTTGTGTGTAAGCTCTTACCTCAAGCCAAAATTAGAAGAATTATTTAAAGCCAGCACCAGGCTCTGAAATGTGCTTAGCTCTAATTTACTGCTTGTTGGCTCAGTTTATTGACCAGGGCTTTGTTTCAGGACACTGGAGAAGTTCATTTGCTAGGTAGATGTTCAGCAGAAGCAAAGAATGCAAGGGGTGTTTGGAAACTTGTGTTCTCCTGGGAGGAAATGCTTGCGAACAAGACCCACAGGTTAAATGCTGTGTCAGGAGGCAATTTGCTTAAAGTTTTACCTCTCTGCTTTTACCGTGTTTCTATAAATTTGTATCATTTATCCATATTAAAAGATATTATATACACAGACACGTATCTTGCATTTTGACTATGTCGAGAAAATGAACAAGCACATTTTTATAGAACGTGAGTCCCAGACCTTGCCAGCTTCCAGGACTCTGTTTGAACCTGCCTGCCCCCCTTGGCAGGCGTCAGCCCCGGGGGAGGGCAGCTGGCAGCGCAGCCTCCTGCGGCTGGCCCTTTGAAGATGAGCTAATGCGTGTTCAGCCCGGGGCAGCGCTCCCTTTATCTGGCCGCATGCACCTGACAGCACTGCTCAGTGGCACAAGGCTTGCTCAGGGAGCTCCCTCCAGGCCGGCCGGCACTACCCCAGCTCACCGAGCCGTGTCTTAGGGTCACCAGCACAAGGAGCGCTTGGTCTGTTCCCCCTCGCCGTGCCGGTGACACAGGTGACACATCCGCCCTGAGTGATGGGCCCACAACGCCCTCCTGCCCTCCTGTGACTCTGACTGTGGAGGGACACCTTTCCTCACACGCTCACGAACTTTGCTCCTCTTGTGAAATCTGACCTCTTGGTTGCTCTCCCCTCTCCCCCATATTTTGGCCAAGGAGATGTGACTGATACCTAACGTTACAAAGGGGATGGGCAATGGAAGAACTGGAGATCCACCACAGCCTGCGCTGAGCAGGCAGGACAGGACTCGAGTGGGTGTCAGGATTAATCTGTCTCTCTGGGGGCAGGGACCTCTGCAAACAGCAGATGAGCAGTCCTCTCCTCTGCAAAGAGACCATCTTCTTCACAGGAGGAAGAATATTTCCTTTATGAAACATTTTCCCCATAAATAACAGGGGAAGATGTTACATATTCACATTTGAAAGAGTCTTTACAGATTGTGGCACAGTTTGGTGGGAAAATTATTCCTCTTTTCTTAGGCTTGAAGTAATAGCTGAGAGGGTGAGGTGTCAGGGCTAATGCCATTTGCCTTTTTACTAGGGAAGCCACCTGGGGTCTTAATTTAGCAAGAGTGTGTATGAAGGGTCAAGCTCAGATGTTCATGAACAGGAAGCTGTGCACTTTGTTTTAAAACAACCTGCCAAAATCTTCTAAACTGTCTCAGACAGCAGGATAAATTCTGAGGCCCATTTTGACTTTTCAGTAGCACGAATTAGTGGAAATTCAGTGTGATTACCTTTTTCTGCCCCATGGCACTGCTCCTTTCAAATCAATTTTTGAGCTGAAGCATGAGACATTTACAAAAGGCTAATACCTTCCTGTTTTACTCACCTCATTGCCTGACAGATGGTACATTCTTGCTTCTTGGAGCAAAGGAAAGACATCTGGACACTGTCTAATGAGTTGATCAGCTTCAACAGTCTCTACAAAATACCAAGGGTCCAAGAGGGGCAGCCGGACGTTCTCCAGCACGTATGGCAGGAGAGAAAACCTTTCGGACTCCTTGTAACGGACCCAGTTCATGACGGTTTCGAACACCTGCGCCTCCTCCGTGACACACAGCTCATCGCTCTTCAGCGTGCTGCACAGGATGTCCGCCGGCAGCTCCAGGAACTCCTCATAGTTCAGGACCTGGGTGAAGTTCTGGATAATGTAGTTCTGTACCTGTTGTTTGAGGCTGTGCAGGGAGTGGGCGTCAGCCAGCCTCAGGATGCCAACGCAGTTCTCCGGCTGGAGTGCTTCGGTGAGAAAACTGGCACAAGCATCTACCATGCGCAGGAACTGTGGGCAGAAAAAGCTTGTATAAGCACAGAAGGTTAATGAAAACTGTCACAGGGGAGCTATGGAGCAACCAGCCATGCCTAATACAGCAAAGAGCTGGGGGAGACAAGAACTGGATCACCTGAGCACAGGTATCTCCCAAGACCTGCAGTCTGAAATGAGAATTTCTTCCTCCCACTGCTTTTATTCCCTCTGCATCCAGTTGCTCGTTTCCCTTCTTGCAGGATGCAGAAGACCTGTGACAGTCATGAATTTTATTTGCTTCACAAAAGGGTTTCCTACTATTCCCTTTTCCTCCATGAGATCTCCAAGCACTGGCAATCATGGAATTACAAAGCACAGATAAGGACCCCAGGCATCCAGTTTGCTTCCCCTGCTTCATCTTGCGTGTCAGCTGAGACCAGCTAGAGCAGAGTCTGGTTTTAGAGTGAAGGTGGCTCCACTGTCTGTATTTATGCTCCCACCATCCAAACTCCAAGTGCAGCTGAGGCCTTGTGGGAGGGGTGGGAAGTGAGCGCTGAGGGCTGGGAGGTTTGGAGCAGGGTGCTGCCCCAGAAGGAATGGGCAGCAGTCCTAGACTGGGGTGAGTGGCAGGAAGAGATTGGCCATCAGCAATTCTTTTGAGCTTCCTGACAGACAGGGCTTTCTGGCAAGAATCTGTTTTGGGGGAGGCCTTCAGAGGGTCTAGTGACCTGATTTGTCATCACTATTGGCTGAAAAAAATATTGATATGCATTTTACACACAGAGTCTGCTTAATCAGAGAACTGGCTGTGTTTGCATTCAATAAGGCATCACAACTACTCTCATAAATTTCCTTGGCAAAATGACCCCACCTGAGGGTCCCAAGCACACATATGCTGGGCCACAGGTGTCTGCAGGGTATTTCTAAACAGTGTGATCTGAGCTGGATTGCTGATGATTATTCAGGAATTGAGAACCAGTTCTGGGTAGAACTGATCAATTACAATGCTTCATCCTAATGGATTTTCCATCACCTCTGTGATTTCAGGTACAAATACTGCCACAGAACAATGCAATAAAGATGGATCAGAGCTAATGTTGTGCATTTCCATCTGTGCTTTTTGGGTTGTTTTTCCATCCAGTGTCAGCAAGCAAACCATTTTAACTCATGTTTTCTCACTGGGGAAAGTTGTGCAATAGTAATTGAGGGGCAAAGAGGAAGCGAAACATTTTTAAACACTGTAGTATGTAGATTTGTTTCAGTAATTAGGGTAGAACCTTCCAGACCCGTCGGTGTCGTGTTGACATATTTAGACTGTTTATCAGAGCTGAGCGATCGCAGACGCTGTGTACAGACTGCCTGGTTCCTGTTTTACATTTAGATGTGGTCAAAAGTTTAGAGAAATGCAACTGACTGATGAACAAGGCTATGTGAGGTCGCAGAACGTGTTGCCACCACTGACATTAATTGTGATAAAAATATATCAGTGGCCCACGGTGGCACCGCGGCACAGCTCAGTGACCCCTCAGCACCTGCCACATTCCCCTTGCCTGCTCTCAGGGCAAGCACGAGGCAACCACTTTGAACTCACCAGGGCATTTCCTTGAGGATCTGAAAGAACTTTGCCACCAAGCAGGCTTCAGACCTGAGGCAGGTTAAGCATCAGCCTTATTAAGCTTATTAAGCATAAGCATTCAAAGTTGTCAGTAATGAGACACAAAAAAAAACAAACCTAGGATTTGCCAAGGTCATATCGACTCATCTGTGACTCTGGGAATAGACCCCAAAACAACCTTCTCACAGCCTGCAGCAAAGCTCTGTAGAGTTCTCGAATTATTTATACATGGCTTGTTAAGAGCAGCGCTGAGGAGGTGACAGGGAGGTGCACATTGCTCTCACGGCCAGCAGGCCCCACTCCCTCACTGCGGGGCTGTTTGTGGCCAGGCAAATGCAGAACTGCGAGGTGTGGGTGTGAGAAGCGGCCCCGCTGAGGGCTCCACCAGAGAGGCCGGGCTGCTTGGGGGCAAATCAAGGCAGGACTTTCCCTGGTTCTGCTCCTCATCTCTGCGCTGTGCTGACTCCCCACCACTGCCTTCATTTAGACACTAAATTCCCCCCAAAACTCCCCCAAAACTTGCTGGGCATATGTCAGTCAGTCCCAGGAGAGCAGATGGCTGACTCAAGAGAGCATCAGAAGGAAGACAACCCTGAGCCTCTGCTTCATCTGCTCTGATGATGCTGGCAGAGCTCTGAATTTTCCGCTTGTCCACTGTGAGTACCCCTCCTAATGCCAATCCAGGCACTTTAAAAGCCCTGCTCCCTGAGAACAGTTTCTTCAATAAGTTAATCCTTCTTCTAATACCCATTTGAATCCAGGTTCTCACTTGCTAAAGACATCCCATACGCTTACTTGGCCTCCAGTTGGCTTTGACTCTGAATAGCAAAATTTGTTCTCCCCATGGAGTCCTCGCTTGTCCCAGCTGTGGTTCAATGGTGGAGTGTAAGCAGTGCCAGCAGCCATGCCTCCAGCTAGAGCCCCTACAAGGGGAAGGCAATGGGGACTGAAAGGTCTTTCTTTCATTCACAATCCTTCTCTGTATGCAGCACACTTCAGGGCCGGATCCTGCACCCTGCAGCTTGTGGCCCTCGGCCACCGGCTCTGCTGCGGCTGCAGGGACAGCAGGTCCTGTCCCGGCTCAGCGGGGACACCTGTGCCCCGAGGGAGCCCCGGCCAGAGGCAGCTGAGGGGCACAGCCCCCTCCAGGGCTGCTCCCCGGGGAGGGGAGGCCTTCTGAGCCTGCCAGCCCTTCTCCCCCGGGAGCTGCCCTGAAGGCCTTTGGTGGCAAATGGTGCCCTCCTGTCTGGCGCGGCCTGCAGCTGGCACCCTGGCTCTGCCCTGCTCAGTGGCCTCAGGATGGCTGCCAGGTAGTGGAGCCCTATTTCCCTTGGAGTGTCTGCTCATGTAAAGTGGATGACCCCAGGGATGAGGGGTGCTTTGGGGTCAGTCAGGCCACCAAGCTGGTGCTGCTTCAACCGTGCCCTGAGGGCAGAGCAGCCTGCTGTGCTTAGAGGGGACAGCTCGGGCATCCTCCACTGTTCCCACTGCATTTCCATGGCAGGGGGCATCACAGCCTTTGGCATTTCCATGGCAGGGGGCATCCCAGCCTTTGGTGACAACACAGTTTCTTTTCCATCTGCTCAGAAGCCTGCTTCCCTCTCACTATTTCTTTGCTTCCACCACCACAGCTGATGCGGGACCTGTTGAGGCAATGGGTAATACAGAGGTTCCTGGGGGGCAGGAGCAGTGTAGACAGCTCTGGAGGTTGTTGCTGAGTTCTGGTGAGGGAAGCAGGGCTGCCTGCCATGGCCCTGGGCAGCAGCTGGGATCTTGACCCTTCCCAGGGTGAAAGGACGAGCAGCTCTGCAGGCAGTGTGGGTGGCAGCGGCTGCTGGGCGGGATCCAGGGTGGGCACCAACCTTGCAAGTGCAGCGGCTGGGCAGCCACCAGCCAGACAGAGGAGGTGATTATTGAACTCATGTTGCAACTGCGCTTGAGGTGGAAAAAATTTGTCTGGCTCACTTGAGGGTGAGGCTTAGCTGTTCAGCAGCTCCCTGTTCCAAACCCTTCACCTGCTTTCCCCACCATGGCAGGGATGCCTGCGCTCTCCAAACATCCCTCCACCTCTTCCCACTGTCAGTTTTGACTGCATTTGGTCAAAACTTACTAGAAGGGAGTAAAGAAAGGCATAATTACATAAAACCTTTTCAAAAACAGTTTCTTGAGAAAAGGAGATTATTTACTTTGGAATATCTATACTGAAATATCTAGAACTGTGCAAGTTATTTCTTCTTTCGTTTTTGCCAAGTCCCCAAGGTTAAAAAGAGGCTCTGTCACAAGTTATTGCTAAGTCAGTTGAAAAGATTATATTTGGAATTTGGATTTCTCACATGCCACTAATTTGAAAGAATTTATCAAACAAAAATGTTACAATAAATTACAGAAATAATCTTTTCAGCTGTTGATACATCCAAATGAAACATTTGACTCTTTCAACTCTGTTCTTCAGCACAAATAGCACGGACAAGCTGGCAGAACTCTAGTTCTGTCAGCTTGATATAGTAGATTATTAAAGATTTAATAGTTACTAAATCTTTTTTGCACAAAACACATTTTCAACCCAAACCCTCACATTATAAATGTGAGGACTTATAAATTTATAATGAGGCCTTATAAAACTTGATAGTATCCAAGACAATCACTCTTTGTAGCTGAACATTCCTGGTGTTCTAGGTTTATCTAGTTTTTTTTCTACTTTACTTTTCTTACTTACGGTACCCTCACAGTTTTATCATTATTCTAACAGAGTTTGATGGTTTTCTTAAAGCACCAGCATTGGGAATCAAATTTAATCTTAATATTAAGGAAATGTAGGGAAGATACATGAAAAAAACATAAGTTTATACTTTTGATAGTTCCAGAAGGAAGGAAAAAAAAAAAGCTGAGGAATGAGCCTAAGGAAAAAAGGTTCAAAAGAAAACAAAAACAAGATGGAAAATGTCCTGAAAATGAACAAAATATAGCCATTTAATGGTACCAGTTGGTAGTGTTGGTCCATGGAAAATGCACTGCAGGCCCAGGTGACATTAAAGTTACCTTTGTGAAATTTTTCCTAGACCTCCTTTGGTACAAGTTGAGATAATTTTCTCTTGTCCTATCACTTTTTACTTGGGAGA